GGAGAACCTTAAACCCTAGAAAACCCCTAAGAAAACCCTAAGAAAACCCTAACCGGGGTTCGGGTGGTTAGGGGAAAGTAGTGGCGACCTAATCAAGAAATAAAAATAATAACCATGCGGGGGAGGAGGAGAGGAAATAAAACAAACAATAAAAATTCAAGATAAAAATGAAAAAAAATAAATAATAAAAATAAAAAAGAAATAAACAAACAAAGTGTGAAAAAAAGGTGATATTTATTTTTTTTGAATTTTCGGCAGCATTTTACCACCTCACATGGGGTCAAAAATGTGCCAACAGGAAGGAAAGAGCGAGAGGAGCACACTAAATTTCAAAATACCGCAAATTAAAATTTTCAGAAACATAAATAAATAAATAAGGTGGTAGAGGAAAATGAAGAGAAAAACTACGTTTTGGAGTTTCTCAAAAATTTCGGCAGCATTTTGTTACCCCCATGGGGTCGAAGTGTGCCGTCAAGAAAAAGACTAAGTAAGATGGGAAAATTTGGCCAGCACTTCGCTACCCTCCAAGGGTCATAATGTGCTGAAAATGACTAAGTAAAAAAAAAACAGAAAATTTCGGTAGCAATTCTTTACCCCCACGGGCCCCACGGGGTCAAAATGTGTGTCGAAAACAAGACTGACTAACTCCTAATCAGATTTGAGGGTGCTGTAAGGAAATTCGAATTTTCAGAATAAATAAAACAAAAATAAAAATAAATCAAAAAAATGATAAAAGAAGTAGGGAATAAGATAATTCGAATTTGTGGAGGAAAAAAGAAAATTTAAGTCAAAGAGAAAATTTAAGTCAAAGAGAAAATTTAAGTCAAAGAGAAAGAGAAAAAAAAAAAAAAAAAAAAAGTCGAAGTTGGGTGGGGGGGAATGGAAAAGTGATGAAGGAGGAGAGAAATAAGTGAGAAGAGAAAGAAAAAGTAAGGTGCGAGATCGGGGAGATGATAGGGTTGTAGTTGGGGGAGGGAAGGGGGAGAGGATGGTGATAGAATGGGAGAGAAGGATATGGAAAAGGTAAAGAGGAGTAGATGAGATTAGTAGGCGATGGTGAGTGGGGAGGAAAGGAAAGAAAAAGGTTATGAAAGATGAGTGAAGAGGGAGGTAGGAGGAGGGGGGTAGTGGTAGGGTTAGAAAAGGTGATGAGATGGTGTCGAGGAGAGAGAGAGGAGCGGGAGGTGGGAGAGTAGGTGAGTGGGGAACGATGATACCAGGCTCTCGGTTGGCCAAGAGCAACAAGGTCACCAAGATCCCCAGGATCTTGACCTTGAAGGTGCTGGGAGCCTGCTGCTGCAGCAGAGAAAAAATAATAATAATAATGGGATAATCAAGGGTTGGCTGAGATCTTGATCAGCTACCCTGATTACACTGACGCGCAGCCCCCTAGCCATGAGGGTCTTCACTGCTGCCAGAATGCTTCTGCAGTAGTAGGAGAAATCATCATCATCATCATCTGGGTATACTGAGATCTTGATCAGCCACCCTGATCTCACTGTAGTGCAGCCCCCTCGCCACGGGGGTCCTCAAGTGCTGCCACGTGGCACTCTAATGGTCACGGGGAGGAAGAAAAGAGAGAGAGGGGCAACCACTCTTTTGCAAATAACTTTTCACCCCCTGGGTGGAATTTGCCAAAAGAGGACTTGTTGGAAAGCTTTTTGAAAGCCGCTTCCAACAAGATAAGGCGCAACATCAGACACTGCTTGCAGAAATAGCGCTCATTGAAAAAACGAGCACGGGTGATTTTGGGAGCTTCAAAAACAAATTGTGATCTTTGAAAGATCGTTGTTCATCAACCACCACACAGACATAGACATTCTATCGCTTCTTGAAAGCGGCTCATCGAGAGCTTTCCAACAAGCTTGGTTCACGGTGCAAAAGTTACGATCGAAAGAGTGCACCGGTGTCATTACCAAAGAAAAGTGGCGAG